ACCCCCCCCCCCCCCCAATTTTTTCGGTGTGGGGCTTAGAGAGACCCCCCCTTTTTCCAAAATTTGCCCCCGGGGGGCCCGGCACTATTTTACGCGCTTTTTTGGGGGTCCCCCCCCTTAATTCTGGGGGTTGCCCCCCCCCCCCCCCCCCCCCGGGGGGGGGGAGTTCCCCAGTTTTTTCCTTTGCGGACTTATTTGGGGGGACCCCCTTTTGGCGCCCCCCCCCCCCCGCACGCCCCACGGCCTGCCCACCTTTATAGGTGCCTCGCAACTGCGTAATCTTGTATTATCGTCGAGTAGTACAGGTACTGCGTGGGGGCGGTACGTATTGCCGTATCACTAGCTCCGAGTAGAGGGGGCGTGCTGCAGTTAACCCTTTTACGTCCACATTTCGAGCGAGTGAAAACCAACTCCTGAGCACGGCGCCGCAGGCGCCTGTTGATAGGTCCAGGTGATAGCCCTGGATGGGCAATGCATTCGCCTACCTGGGCCTCAGATCGCCCGACCGCGTCCCGGTGCTCTGCGTTCGGATTTGTGACGCCGCCGCACCGCGCCGCGGCCGGGGGCCCGCCGGAGGCCGAGGATGGCCGTGACGGACCGGGACGAGCTCTGGGAGGTGTTCAGTGTCAGTGAGTATATTGTAGAAACTGACCATGTGCACAATATCGTGATTGAGAGCTAAGCCAGGGGAGGCGATGCCGGGGCCGTACAGCAGCTTGATGGTGCTTCGCCGGCGTAGAAGCGGCCGCGGAGGGCTCCGGGTGCCTGAAAAAGACGGATTTACGTGGGCTGTGGGAGATTTACTGTCGACTCAAACGACACTGTGGCGTAATCCTCTCATATATGGCTAAATATTTACCGAGCCGTTTTAAAGTTCCACCGCTACGACTGGAGATATATCGAGATTGGGTCACCATGACCCTCTTAGGCGCGAAAGGGTTAAGGGGAAACCTGGTACGCGGGGCTAACCCTCGGAGAGTATTCTCGTGTTACTAGCTCCGAGTAGAGGGTGCGTTCTGCTGCTAGGGGAAACCCGGAGCGCGGTACTATCCCTCGTGTTATGGCCCTGCGAACGCGCACCCCCCAGGGCTGGCCGCCTCAAGGCTGCCGGGCGGCAGTACTCGCCTCGCAAGGCGCGCACCGGCTGCTCTGGCTGCTGCGCCGGCGGCCGCTGCGCTGGCCGCTGCTGCGCTGGCCGGCGAGCGGTACGACCGCCGGCGGCCGCTGCACCCGCGCCTTCCCTCGCCGGCGCCGTCGCGTCGCGCGCGCCCAACTGTGCTGGCACACGGCACGCGTCGTCACTCAGCCGCGGAGAACAGGCGGTGCAGCGCGCGAAGCGCGCGCGATCTCGTACTTCAAGGCTGGATCCGGCCATTCCAAGTGTATACCTTTGAGAATCCCCAGCGTCCCTCCCTCCTAGTCACAATCTCAATATCTCGACTCTCCAACACGAAGTGCTGCCATGCGGCTTGCCCCATTTCTTTTTCTTTTCTTTTTTTGGGCCCTGTGGGCACCCTACAAGTGCTCAAGTGAGCAGCTGAGCACTTGGAGCACTTGGAGTGCAGTCATCAGCCTCACATCCAGGGCCGGGGAGCTAAGAAGCGCACCCAGCGGGCCGGATGATCGGGATCGGGTTACGGGCAAGAGAGCCCTTGCGCGGGCCGAGCAAGAAGAAATGAGTTAGGCACCTCCTGATATAATGCTGAGCGGGGCGGAGGCACGCGGGTGGCGGAGGCGGCGGCGGACGACGTCTACTACCTGGCCGCCCCCTGTGGTAGCTTAGCGATCAGGGAGGATCTACCTGTTCGGCCTCGAGGAAGCTGCTGGGGGAGAGAGGGGGGGAGAGAGGAGAGGAGGAGAGGGGAGGGGATGAGAAGAGGAGAGGAGAGGAGAGGAGAGAGGAGGAGAGAGGAGAGAGGAGGGGGGGGAGAGGAGAGAAGAGGGGGGAGGCGCGAGAGGGAGGGAGGGAGGGAGGGAGAGAGAGAGAGGGCGGAGCGAGAGTCTCAGGGGAGAGAGAGGGAGAGAGTGGAGAGAGTGGAGAGGGAGGAGAGGGAGAGAGGAGAGCCTTTGAGCCTTGGCACCAGCCAGGCAGTGGATTTGGCCCTGGCACCAGCCTTGGCAGTTGATTTGGCCTTGGCACCAGCCTTGGCGGGCGGGCACGCGATATGCACAGGCGCCAAGGGGCGCAGAACCGAGACCTAACCCGTCGGAGGTGGGGGGAAGGGAGTCCCCCGGGTCCTGCGCGAGCGCGAGAGTAACCCCAGGAGGGCCCAGATGAGCGGTGCGCGCAGGGCTCGGCGTGGAGGGCGATGAACGCGCCGCGCGGGGCGCCGCCTCACTGGCCCAGCGTGAGGCGGCGAGAACCGAGCGAGCACGTGAGCCCCGTGGCTCCAACCGGGCCCTTCCTTTTTTGAGCAGGTGTGCCGCCGCGCGAGCGACGCTCCGAGATTGCCTGAGATAGCGCGGCGCGGCCCCGAGATCGCCCGAGATAGCATGAGATCGCCCGAGATTGCGCGGCGCGGCCCGAGATCGCGCGGCGCGGCCCGAGGCGAGGCGGATGGGTTGGGAGCGAGGGGGCGGAAGTGACCAGTGCGGTAGATGGTGAGCTCGGGGCAAGAGCCATCCGGCTTACATTTACCCTGCGTTCTCGCACATGGTCATGGAGTGCGAGGTACTCGGCTTTCAATCCCAAACTGTCACTCCCCTTTCTCCCGGCCGGGGTGGGGCGCGCGCGGGGGCGGCGGGTGTGCGGCGGGTGTGCGGGATGTCTGTGGGACCGAGAGAGCGATGTGCCTGTGTCAGTCTATCGCTTGGTTTCTAACATCGAAGGCTTGGCTCAGAAGACGCACTACACACGCACTCGAACACACACTAAATAGCACACTGAACTCACTAAAGTTCATTCACCGGCACTAAATTTAGTCCCAAGCGCCCTTCCTTGGTCCGTGGCTGGCGAGGTACTTCCTGCTGAGGGAACAGCTGACGCAGTCTCTCGCCGAGGCTCGCCCAGCATCTCGGGGGTCGCGGCCCCCCGGGCAAGGGGGACCCCGTGAGGCGTGGGAGGCCACGCCAGGTGCGTGTGGTTGTGTTTTTGGGTGTGGCACAATCGCCTAGGATTTTCGCAGAAAAAAGAATTAAGCACTTCGCCTTCTCATCCCTGCCCCGGCGCGGGCGCCCACGTCTCGATCTTCTTTGGCAGCAGCTGGTTCGACAGGTCCTCTCCGTGTCCAAGGCAGGCGTGGTTGTCCTTGCCCCAGGTAAAGACAGCGCCGTCCGCGGTGATGGCGAGGCTGTGGCGGGAAACTGCCGACACCGCGACGACGCGCTGCCCTGCAAAGGTCTCGATCTTCTTGGGCAGCAGCTGCTCCTGCTCGTCGCCGTGGCCCAACCGGCCATAGGCTCCATCGCCCCAGGCGAAGACAGCCCCGTTGGCGGTGATGGCGAGGCTGTGCATGCCTCCAGCCGACACGGCGAGGACGCGCTGCCCAGCCAAGGCCTCGACCTTCTTCGGCAGCGGCTGCTCCTGCTCGTCGCCGTGGCCCAGCGTGCCATTCTCTCCATCGCCCCAGCTCCAGACGCTGCCGTCGGCGGTGAGAGCGAGGCTGTGCCTTGCTCCACCCGACACGGCGAGGACACGCTGGCCAGCCAAGGCCTCGACCTTCTTCGGCAGCGGTTGCCATTGCTCAACGCCGTGGCCCAACTCGCGTCCATAGCCCCAGCTCCAGACGGCGCCGTCGGCGGTGAGAGCGAGGCTGTGGTGATCTCCAGCTGCCACAGTGATGACGCGCCACCTAGCAAAGGCCTCGATCTTCTTGGGCAGCAGCTGGCGCTGCTGGTCGCCGTGGCCCAGCTGGCCAGAGTAGCCATCGCCCCAGCTCCAGACGGCGCCATCGGCGGTGAGGGCGAGGCTGAGACTGCTTCCAGCTGACACGGCGACGACGCGCTGGCCAGCCAAGCCCTCGACCTTCTTCGGCTGCCACTGATTCTCGTCGCCGTGCCCCAGCCGGCAGCCGAAGCCCCAGCTCCACACACTGTCGTCTGCGGTGATGGCGACGCTGTGGTACCATCCAGCCGACACGCTCACGGCACGCTCGCCACCCAGCGTCGACGGGAGGCGGGTCGGCGTGATGAGTCGCGCCACGCCCTCGCCGTGACCGAGCAGCCCTGGCTGGAACGCCTCTGAGCCGCACGACGAGAGCCGCCCCTTGCCGTCAATGAAGACGCTGTGCGTATAGCCTGCAGCCGCCCTCACCGGCGGGTTGGACTCGCGCAGCAAGGCATAGAAGCACAGCCACCGCACGGCGCAGCTCTCGCCCTCGGGCTGCGCCGGCAGCTCGAAGCCGGCCTCTTGCGCCCACAAGCGGATGGCCTCCAGCGCGAGCGAGGCGTGGAAGAGGTGGGAGACGGCCGCGACGCGAGCGATGTCGGCGGGGTCGCAGCGAGAGAGGGCGCGCACGAGGAGCTCCGTGGGGAGGTCGAGGAGGCGGACGGGCGGCGGCGTGCTCGGCGAGGGAGCGGCGGCGGAGGAGGCGGTGGCGAGGGGGCGCGAGCGGCGCGGCGAGGCAGACATCGCGAGAAAGAATTCGCCGCTGAGAGCCAGCCTAGCCGACGGCTAGCGCACCACACACCTCTCCTTAAAATCCCTGTGTGGTGGCGGCGTGCCGTCCTCCCATCCCTCTCTTGGTTTGTCTGTTTTCTTTCTTTCTTTTTTGGGATTTGGCGTGTCTGTTTTCTTTCTTTCTTTCTTGGGATGTCCGTTTTATTTATTTTTTTAACGGGACTGGCGCGCACTGGCACTAACACAAGGAACACACAACGGGAGTTTAGTGTATAGAAGCAGTATAGACTATAGTGAGACAAAACCAGAATGGGCAAAAGCGCCGGGGTCGTACCACCGATGGGACTACAACTGTAGCACTAATATTCCTCACAGTCCTCTCCCGGCGGTCTTAGGCGGAGCCGCACTTGGTGGCGCGCCGCGTAGGCGGTCGGTTTTTCTTTCTCCTTTTCACAACGAGGGCGGGGCCTCAAGGTCAAGCGACGAACGAGTACGACTACGAGGCACAACATCCCGCCGAGAGAGAGAAAACATAATGACGCTCATGTTTCCTGTTCGTCAGCTTCAGATTTTTCTTTATTGTTTTACCGTACGCACACAGAAGCGAGCTCTCGACTCTTCATCCCCTCAAAGCCAGCAGCTCCGCCTCAAACGGGAACGGCCCTCCCGCCCCATTCCTCTCCCACCACTCCTCCGGGTCCCCCCCCTCCTTGACTAGCACGCGTCGGAGACCCTCCAGCACCGCGGCGCGGTGTGACGCCGGGACCACCACCTCTCCCGGCGCAGCAGCCTCGCGCTGCCTGCGCTCCGCGCGGTGGTGGCCCGCAATCTCCGACGCGCTGTCGGTGACCGCCGCCCGCGAGCGCTTGCGTCCCGGCCCGACGGGCGGACCGTCACTGCCGACAGTCGCTGCTGTCGGGGCGGTAACGAACGAGCCGCCGCTACTTGCCGCGCCGCCGCTGTGCAGCACCACCCCGGCTGGGATGCACCCGGCCTCGCCGCCCGCGCTCGCCGCCGGCTGCTCCGTGCGCTCCTCGTCTCCTTGCGCCGCCGCTTCCTGGCGGCGGCAATCCTCCGCATCAGCGCCCTCGGCCTCCGCTCCCGCCCCTCCCCTCGCCGCCAACTCCCTTTTCAGTTGAACGTTGTTTCGCCGCTGCGGCACCGGCTCAGCGGGCCCTGCACTGCCCTCGTCGGCACCGCCCCGCGCCGGCAACGCTTGGCCCAGCCCCACGTCGCGCAGCTGGTCAAACGGCGCCACGTACTCGACGGGCGCGGCCTCGTCTGCCGTCAGCTCCTCCGGCTCGGGGAGGCGAGGCAGCGCGCCGGCGGCGGAGCCCCCGCCGCCGCCGGAGCCGCCCTTGGAGCCTCCCCCCTTGGCGGTCGGCAGCGCCTTGAGCCGCAACCAGCTCCTCGCGCCGCCGCCTTCCCACGCGGTGTGGCCGAGGACGAGCATGGCCCGCGGGGTCAGCTCCGACCGCAGCCACACCACGTCGCCCGCCGCAAAGGCTCCCCTCTCGGGCGGGTCGCGCCTCGGTGGCGCCGCAGCGGCCGGTCGGGCGGGGGCTCCTGTAGGGGCAAGAGAGGCGCGGCCGTCAGCAAACGGCGGGCCCCGGCACGCGGCTGCTGGATGGACGTGGCGCCTGCCGCCTCCCCCCCCCCGCTCGCGTAGCCCTCGTCGCCCCCGCCCGTCAGCGCCCGCACCTCGGCCGCGAGCTCGAGCGCCTGCTCCTTGCTGACCGCGCCCGAGTGGAGGATCTGGCGGATGCTCTCCGCGGGCGGCCGCCAAGCATTCTCGTCGCAATACCACGAGAGGGCTCGGAGGAGGGTCTCCCGCTGCGCAGCGTCCCCCGCCGCCTCCATCGCCAGCCACGCGTCGCGGAAGCCGTTGTACAGCGCGGTCACCGCATCCTCCTCGAGGAGGAAAGGCTCGCCCGACGGCTGGGGCTGGAGGCGGAAGTGGCGGGTCGTCCTGCAGCCGCGATCCCCCCGGAGCGGCCACGTCTCCTCGAGGATGAGGTGCGGCTGGTGCGGGCTCGCCCCCCCAGGCAGCCGGCCGGGGCGCAGAAACACCACGCGGCCGACCTGCAGCGTGGCGGTTCGAGGCTTCTTGCGCGGTTTGGCACGCCGTGCGTCGGCGCCGAGGCTCGGGGCCGCTCCCCCGGACGGCGCGCTGCTGCTGCTGCCTCGGGGCGGCCTGATGCTCCACCTCTTGTTGCCTTCGTCCAGCCGCACGTGGAGGGCGGAGAGCTCCTCCTTGATCCGGCCCGCCTGTGCATGCCATGGACGTGTCATGGACGCGTCATGGACGACTGCCGTGTGGATGGCTGCTGCTACGATGGAGCCTCCGCCCACTCGCGCCGCGAGCGGAGCGCGTCCCGCCGCTCGAGCAGCTCGAGGACCCGCAGCAGGTTTGGGTCGTCTCCCAGTGCCTCCCCGCCACCGCCTCCGCCGCTGCCCGCTCCCTCGCACCCGCCGCTGCCCGCCTCCACGCGCCCGCCCGGGCCGCTCCCACTCGCGCCGTCGCGGGAGGGGGGAGCACCGCAGCCGCGATCGCGCTCGGGCTGTGCGTCGCCGCCGAGACGAGCTGGCTTCGAGGCCGCCTTGTCGCCGTGGCGCCGTATGCGGCCGACAGCGAGCCTGCTCGGGTCCCGACTCTCCTGAGGCGGCGCGGGCAAGCACTCGCATCCACAGAGAGAGGGCGGGATTGTGGGACGGCGGCGGCGCGCCTTGTCGAGGAGCTGCTGCAGCATGGACGAGGCCTCGCCGTCGGTCAGCTCCTTCCGGACGAGGGGCGTGATCTGGCAGATCCGCACCGTCCAGTGCCTGCGGGCGTCGGGCGAGGGGCGCGAGACGGGGTGCAGCACGTCCATGTTGCAGCAGGCGAGGTCGGGCGAGGTGTCGAGCTCGAAGCCGCGATCTCGGTACGTCCCGACCAGCTTCCTCTTGCCGAGCAGCCGCGTGTCCCACAGCGTGCGCGTCGCGTACACGTGCGGCGACACAATCGCCTCAAACAGCCAGCCGCTCGGGCCGCGCTCGCCAAAGATGGCCAAGAGGAGCGCGTCGCTCAGATCGGACAAGGAGGGGTACGTGCGCGACTCCCGCAGCGCGCGCCGCACCCGCTGCACCGCCTCATCGCCCAGCCGCTCGGCGAGCACGCCAACCGGGTCGAGTTCGATCACGCGGGAGGTGCCCAGCACAAAGAGCTCGTAGTCGACGACCTCGACGATGGCGAGGGGGCGCGAGCCCTCCGCCGGCGGGGCGGGGTCGAGGGACCAGCAGGGGTCGGTCGCGTCCGGTGGGAGCCGCCCGGGCGGGTGGGCGCGCCAGCCGGGCGGCTCGGGGAGGTAGGCGTAGACAGAGCCGAAGGGCCTGACCATCGGCGTGTTGCTCTCGACTCATGCATGAGCTGTGAAATGACGCACTTCGCTTTGATTGATGCCCTGAATGGTGCGGGCGCCGCCGCCTCCTGGCGGCCAGCCTGAGATGCCCTCTGTGGCGCCGCGCCTCGCCCTCGGGTCTGGGTCTAGCGTCCGACTCCGAGGAGCGGAGGTGGCACGCTCGGCGAATCGCAATCGGGCGGTCTCTCGATCGCTACGTGTTCAACGACGTTGAACAGTGTTTGACCACGGCGCTGTTCACAGCGCGCGCGGACGGCAGTTCTGCGAGTCCCGCTCCGCAGGACTTTTGTAAAGCATGCTTGTGGCAAGTTACAGACGCGAGTATCGACCTCAGAGACCCAAACACGAATTAATAATAAAGGCTCAAAGTATGGTCAAACAACCGTCAAACAAACAGGTCAAACAACGAAAAGAGACTAGTGCGACCGCTAGACGGCGGTCTCCGCCGGCCCCAAGGCTGCCCAGCCCCAGTACCACACCGGCCACGTACACCGCACATTGGACTCTCCCCCCCTTCTCGCCAACCCGCTAAATTCCAGCAGAGTTCTCTGCGCCTCGAAGTACTCGAGTGCAGAAAACGGCGGACCAGCTGCTCCCGCGGGCGCGCGCGATGGTCACCTTGCCCTGCGCCTGGCGGACGACCTCCCACGTCTCGCCGCTCGGCCCAGTCGCCACAGGCAGCGCGTCGTCTGTGTCGATAGGCTCGATACCGAACTGTGGTGGTGGAGCCCCTGCTGGAGCACTCTCGTCGCGGGCGACGGACTCGGCGGCATCGACCAGGGCGTCGAACGGGTAGTCGTACTCGCCGTAAGGCTGGGCAAAACCACCTGCCGCTGGAGCGTCAAAAATGCGCGCCGGAGCGTCAAAAATGCGCGCCGGAGCGTCAAAAATGCGCGCCGGAGCGTCAAAAATGCGCGCCGGAGCGTCAAAAATGCGCACCGGAGCGTCAAAAATGCGCACCGGAGCGTCAAAAATGCGCACCGGAGCGTCAAAAATGCGCACCGGAGCGTCAAAAATGCGCACCGAAGCGTCAGAAATGATTTTTTTCGTTTTTGTCGTACACACTCAGTGCCAGCGCGCACCGACCAATGAGGTATTTCCCCCCCCCCCCCCCACACACACACACACACACACACATGCACACACAGAGACAGACACAGAGAGACTTTCAATGCCTGGTTTCAGGTTTTTTAACTACTAAAAAGTGGAAGCAACTTGCTTCCACTTTTTAGTAGTTAAAAATTGGAAGTTTCCAAGATTGCCCGCCGCCACATAGAGATTTTCAATGCCCGGCTGACGGAACTGGAGTTCTAGCTACTTGGCGAAAAATGTGAAAAATGTAGTTGTTAGACCCTCGGAGAGCGGCAAAAGCTACCGGGAGTTTGTGTGTTGTGCAACTGCACGTCGCGCTGGATACACTCCGTATGCTCCTGGCTGCCTTCCTCGCGATGCTCGGCCGTGGCTCCATCTCCTCGTCGGCCCTAGACGCGGGCTCGACCGACGATCACACTCTCCGCGCGCAAGCCTCTCGCAGCAACCAAATGCAAGCGATGGGCGAGAGCGTTGAGCTGCGGCCGCCAGCAGGGTCGGCGGCGGCGGCACCGATGCTGACCATCGACATGATGAACTGGACTCGGCCCGCTTCCTTCCGCTCTACCGACAAGCTCGTGGTGCTGCAGCCTGACCCACCGACGTCAGTCCAGGGCATCACAGGGTCACGTGCGAGCGAAGTTCCGCGTGTGAGCCTGATGCCAGAAAAGGCACCGCACGACCCCCCGATGCTTTCGGTGGAGGTGCTGAATGCAACCCCTCTCACCAACCAGACCATCACCTACGCTGCTCTGCCGCCACCCGCACCCGCAGCACGGCCCGCACCACTCCACCTCGCTCGCCCTCCTCCAGTGGCTCGCGGCGGCGGGCGAGGGACATACGACCGCAGCGGCGGTGTGGGGTGCCGTCAATCATGGGCCGCGCATCTCGAGCAGCACATGGAGCAGCTCAACAATGGCTCCCTCTTTGCCGCTCGCACCGTCTGCTCGCAACCTCTCTCTGGGACTGGGAAGTGTCCCTTTGGTGATCGCTGCCTCGACCGGATCTGCCTGGCGGAGGCCAAAGAGTGCGCGCGCGAATCCTTTGGGTCCGAGGCCGCTGCGGACTCACCAGACTGGACCAAGTGCACTCGGAACCACGCCGCTGTGGCGGCCTGGTTTGATCTTGCCCGTGCTGGTGCAGTGGTGGCCGACAACGGCGCAGTCACGAGCATCGACTACAAGGTTGCTGGGTCCAGGGACCGCCCAATGCGCGCCTCCGGCTCGTGAGCCTCCGTCTTGGTGACAATGACATTTACGGCGGCTTTGAGGAGCTGACACGCGCTCTGCGGGCTGGACTGGCGCCAAACCTCGCCATTCTCGATGTGGCTGGCAACCACGGGCTCGAGAATCCCTCAAGCGAGAAGTTTCTACGTTCCCTTCTCCGCCGCTCGCATCCCTGTGAGCTCGACCTCGGAGCACTGCGCGTGCTCGACGTCGACGTCGGAGATACTGGCATCGTGGGAGACACCAACATACGCCGGCTGCTGGACCGGCTCCCGCCCTCTGTGAGCCTCCGACCTGTGCGAGACAACGAGTGGCGCGGCTTCTCTCGCACAGCAGCCGCCCTGCGGTGGTCAGAGGACTGGTACGTGGACCGCATCTCGCCCTGAAGAGGAGGAAAACGCTTCTCTGAGCGAGGTTTGGTGCTCTCAGGAGCGCTCTGCCAATGCGTGGTCGGCAGGAGCCGGTGGGGCAGGCCCGCGGCGAGCGCTTCGCCTGCGGCGCGCGTCTCTGGCCACCAGGGAGGGTCTGGAGGGCGATTTTTGGCTCGATTTTTGGGAAGTGATGCCAATCGAGAGATCTCGCCGAGCTCTTTTCGGTGGTGTGTTTGCGAGCTTTTTTTTCGCACGGGAAGCATTTTTAGTAGTCGGAAACGTGAATTGCGCGACTAGGCCGGCTGCACCAATATTTTTCTCAAGCGTGAAGGCGGGTATGCGGCAACCGGCTCGATCATTGAATTCTTTTTTCGTGACCGTCGAGTTTTTTGTCTGTTCTCTCAGGCCGGGGCTGTGTTTTGCCCAAAGCCGGAAAGCAAAAAGTGCTGGCCCCATGCAGCGAGGTACAGCATGCATTGCTCACTGTGAGGAAGGGGGGGGGGGGTAGGCTTTTGTAGGTGGGCAGGGGCCCTCTCAAAGATCTCTCCAGGAATCTCACGTCACAGCCTTGAAGTGACGAGGGCAGTACACAGCCAGTGCAGGACGGTCCACAGCCATGCACAGCGGTACGCACCCTCAGCAGTACGCACCCTCAGAGGGCAGTACTCAACTGGAAGGCAGTACACAGCTAGCGCAGGATGGCACACAGCCATCCTGCTGGTGATGCAGGCGGAACGCGCCCCGGGCGGTACGCACCCCCAAGTGCATTGTGGGGTGTTGCGGGGAGAGGCAGTCCTGAAGCTGTGAAGGCTGCCTTGTAAAACTCATTGAACTCGTCACAGAAAGTCCAGCGGGTAGTGCTCGGTACGCACCTGCTACATTGGGGCGGCGCGGGTCAATCTCAGCTCAGTCTGGACGCGGCGAGCTCAGCTCCATCTCGGTCTCAATCTCGGCTCAATGTGGTGACCTCAGCATATGACAGCGGTGCTCTCATATCTCATGTGCACAGCAGGCCTTGTGATGCAGGCTGGAGCAAGGCATCGTGACGAGGGGTCCACAGCCAGAGGCACACGTCGCAGGCACCTGCGCAAGGGGGGCGAGATGGTGTGATGGCCATGCGCAATGGGAGACCGTACTCGGGATCGAGCTGCAGGGCACGGGCGGGCGGTGCGCCCGAATGAGCTGTGGGATGCAGGGCCCGTCGGGCGCGCGCGCGCAGATGAGGGGCAGACTTGGAGAGGCGCTCCTTGAATCGCGTGCGCAGCTCGTGCTCGCCTCGCCACGAGAGAGTCCATCTGCGTGTCCGTCCTTGAGGCGTGGCGGAGGCGGCTATCCGAGCCCTGCAAGCGCATCAACATCCCAGGGAGGGCAGACGCCCTCAGGACGGTGGCACACCCCACACGCACGCCTCGCGGCCACGGCTCGCGCCGTAACCGACGCCTCCGCATCGACCAGCGCGTAGCCCGCCCCGCAATCGGTCGCGCGCATGATGATGCGTCTCGTGGACAGGTGGTGTAGCGCGGCAGAACCTGCCGTGCAACGGGTCAGCGGATCCGTCAGCGGAAGGTAAAAACCCGAAAAAAGCAAGAAAAGGATTTTGGAAGCTTTGAGGAAATTCATATCCAATAGGGACATGACTGGATCCCCTACTGACCCAAGTGCGCCGAATCCACTGCGGTCGACCCCTCCACCGCCGGAGAGGGCTATGGACTACGCATTACGTATCCGTACTATGCATCAAGCGCCGAAAGCCCGCCGGAGAGGGCTATGTACTATGCATTACGTATCCGTATTATGCATCACTCAGCGGCGCCTGCACGTGGGAGGGCTATGGACTACGCATTACGTATCCGTATTATGTATCAAGCGCCGCGCTTGTTATACTGTGCACCTGCGAATCGGCTCCAGCCGTGCCAGTCAGCTTCTCAATGATGGCATTCGTGCTCACGGTGAGGGCCATGGCGACTGAGAGGTGATGGCGAGGCGTGCGAGCGATGAAGGGCAGACACTCGATTGCGCCGACGGGCGCAAGTCTGCCGATATCTCATCCGATATCTCATCCAATATCTCGTTAGCTTCGACGCCTCGTGGTGTGAAGTAGATGATGTGGTACAGAGGCCTACGGCCTGCAGGGCGAGCGCCGCACGAAGCCCAGCACCACCCCTCAGCAGAGCTGGCGAGAATCCTGGCGGATTCGCGCTACCTCTGCAAAGGGCCCCTCCGTACTTCGACGCGGCTGCTCGCGTAGAGGAGGTAGAGAGGGAGAGGTTGTATTGAGTAATGCGTCCTTCTTGCGGTACGACCGAAGAGAGACCCTCAGCCTCGCCGCCGCGGGTGGATTGGTCACTTCCGCAGTGTAAGTAGGCTATGCTGCTGACCAGCCTCGCGTTATTCGTGCGAGCTCCCTAATGAAGGCGTTCTTGGCGGCCCTCCTGTTCGCGTCGGCGTCCGCCCTCAGCCTCAGCGTGCCCGTCGCGGCACGGCCGGCGCTGGCGCGCCGCCCGAGCCTCGCCCGCATGGCGGAGGGCGCGCCCGAGGCCGAGGCGCCTGCGGCGGAGCCGGCGCCGGCAGCCGAGGCGGAGAAACCACTCGAGTTCCGTGCGGCGGCGTCCGCCGAGCCGGCCAAGCAGGAGTTCGACCTGTCGCAGTACAGCATAACCCTCTCCATCTTCTTCCTCTTCGTCGTCGTCAAGACCCTCGCCTACTTTGGCATTGGTGCGCCCGCCCCCGAACGCAGCCTCCGGCGCCCGAGCAGCCATCCTCCGCGGTGCCGCCGGCCTGCGCCCCCCCCCCCCCTCCCGCACGCGCGCGCGCCGCCACCACTTCGGCGCAACTCACCGCGGCCTGCACCTCGTCAGGTCCGAACGACTGAGCCCCGGCCAAACTGCTCCAGCTCGCCCCGGGCAGCGCCCTCATCGCCAGCCCTCGGCGCCCTTGCAGCAACAGAAAGCGGGTCGTACGTTGTGCCCATCACACCGCTGTTGTTGGACAAAATGTTCTCTGTCGGGTGGTGGCGCACTTGATGGCGTGCTTGCCGCTGGCGCTGCGCGCGGGGGGATTACACTCTATGTGTGTTTTCCCTCTTTTTGAGTTGTGCATCGAGTTGTCTTGCATAGTATGCTCCCGTCCATTATCATACCCCCTCTCTCGTGCGACGTCTAGACATGTGTTGCGGCGGATATTCCCGCCCGCGCGCTGCGTGATGTGCGTGAACCAAACCGCGCCCGAGCCGCGAGCGCCGAGAGCGCGTGCCTCTGACGATCGAGAAGTGTGACGTGGAACAGTGTGTCTCGTCGTGGCGGCCACCGGGCGCATGCAGCTCAGCACCACGCACGCCAGCAGCGAGCACGGGCCGCGGGAGTCTCACACGCGACGGGCAATAGATGTCCTCGACAAGAGCCACACGGGGTGGCGGCCCACATCCGGCCGACACCCCGGCGGCGGACGCAGCCCGTGAGCGCTGAGGAGAGCTGGAGCGGCCGCGGCGGCGCGCTCAGGCGGCCTGGACCGGCGGGTCGTTCTGCCCCTCGCGCTCGTCGTCGCCGATGGTGCCCGCGGCAAAGTTCCACGTCCCGTCTCCTCCCACGCGGGTCGCCTGATGGGGGGCGGACGTCAAGAGAGAGCGGAGGGAACGCAGGGTGCTCAGCAGAGTCCGGGGCGAGTTAAAGGAGATTCGGGGTGGGGATGTGGGGTCCTGGAGCGGGAGGATGGCGGCGGCGGGTCGGGGGCGGGTCGCCTCTCGCTTTGTCCCAGCGAGCTTGGCCACGTCTCGGACCGGCGCCTCGAGGACGCTGAAGCGCGAGTACTTGTACTTTGTCTCGAAGAAGCCCGTCATCTTGTACTCCTCGCCGGAGCCCTCAATAGCGCCCTCGGCCTGCGCCTGCGTCACGATCTCGTGGCCGCCGCCCTGAGCCTTCCACAGGTCCTTGTAGTGGTCCTGCGCACGGGGTTGCGCGGTCATTGGCTGCCGTGATGAGGGGCTGCGGAGGGGCTGCGGCTTGGTAGGCCATAGGCGGCCCCGCGCCACACCGCGCGCCAGACCCACAATCCCCCGCGTCGCGCCTGCTTGCCGTCGACTGCAACCTTGTCTCCGTCGTACGACTGGCCAATCAGCCCGTGCGGCGCCACGCTCCTGCCTGTCGCCGGCTGTGGCGCGAGCGGGTCGCGCAGCGGCGCGAAGGAGAGGTCTATCTGCTTCTTGCCGGGAGAGGTGGAGCGCCAGATGAGGCGCGAACCCGCCTCGATGCGCCAGCCGGCGGTCGTTACCTGGAGGCGGTTCGAGGGAGGGGGGGTGGGGGCGAAAAGAGGAGCGGCCACAGCAATCGCGGAGGTGGGCAGGCGGGAGGAGAGGGGTGGGGTAGGGTAAGCGGGGAGGGGCGGGGGCGGAGTTCGGCACCTTCAGGAGCTCCATCTTGCCGCCTTGACCGCCCAGTTTGGTCTCGACAGCGACGCTCACGTCCTCGTGGGAGATCTTGTCGCCCGCTTGCAGCCGCTTCATGCCGCCGCCGGGCAGGCCGTGCACAATCGGAGTCGGCGGCTGGTTAGTGTGTGTGCGCGCCAGTCCCGTGCCCAATAATAAACAAACAACATACCTAAAACACAAAAAATAGAGCAGGCAATGCCCAATCAATGAACACAGTCACCAGCGAGGGAGGGCGTGACGATCGAGGGAGGGGTCCTGTACCATGCGGAATCGACCCTATCCAGTAGTGATGCTCAAGTGCTCAAGAGCAGGCTGCAGCTCCGGGAGAGATGCGAATACAAAGGCACAGCGCTAGGCGTAAATTCTTCAAAACATGACGGTACGCGCCTCAGCAAGATGTGGCAGAATGCCAACCGCAACGGCCAGATTGTGAGCGGCCGGCCGCAGCTCCGGGAGCGGCTGCGCCGCCTCGGGGTCCAGAGTGGCCCATGGTCGGACTACACGTGAGTGTCGGCGCTGCGCGGTGCCGCTGCGTGTGTGTGGCCGCACTGGTGACTGGACACTCGCGTGTCTGTACCACGCTAGCAGAGTGCCGGCGCGAGAGTTCTCAAGAGACGAGCCTCAAAAGGCTAGCCTTGTCAACCAAAAAGTAAGACGCAGTCGGCGGAGCGAGAAAAAAATGTGTTCGCTTTCGCTTGTTTCTATTAACTAGCTCAGAAAAAAAAGTGAGCGCACTGCGGCCGTCTGTCTTTCATGGCCATGGTCACCTCGGCGTCGTCGGGCAGCGAGCTGTCCAGGAGCCGAAGTCGAGGCGGCGTCGCGGCGAGAAGGCCCGCGACAGTATCGAAGCGGCCGCTGTGAGTCGGCATCGTGTCCGCGGCGGCTGTGTACGGCGGCTGTGTATGGGTTCGAACCCTGTTGTAACGGCCGCTCCAGCGATTGACCATACCCCCCCACCCGTCGAGCAGGCCGCCTCCGGCGGCCAGGACCATACCCCCCCACCCTTTTGGCCCCGACTTGCACCATACCTTACCCCGCAAAAAGTTCGAATCGGGCGAGGCCGACTGCTTCCGACGCTGGCACGGCCGTCTGTCTCTCATATACCGCAGTTATGCACGCCATTCTCTTCCTCGGCGCCATTCTCGTCCTCGCGTGGGACGAACGCCTCACCGAGCAGCTGCTTGGTGAGCAGAACCGACGCGCTGCAGAGGCTGCCGCCGCCGCAGATGAGCTGAACTGGACGGAGGTCGGCGTGGGAGTCGGAGCCGACGGGAGTCCATATCTGCAGCAGATCTCGCGCGGCCAAGCGTCCAGGCACATCCGCGCCGGCCTCCTCTTGGTCGCGACCGACGAGGTGCGCGGAGAGATCTTTGAGAAGTCTGTGGTTCTGGTTGTGCGACACGACGAGAACGGCACGCTCGGCCTGGTCCTCAATAAGCCGGCGCCGCTGCCGCGCGGTTTCTCCTCTCGCGAGGAAGCACCTCGAGTCCGCTCCCGTCGCAGCCCTCTTCACAGCCACACTGCAAACGTTGGAGCAGGCGGCCGTCTCCTCCGCGCTATCGAGTGTCGCCTCGCTAACCCTCTTCACAGCGCAGACGCTGTGAACAGGCGCTGCTCGAGTCCGCGTTCGGCGTGAGGCCTCGCAACCCTCACAGCACAAGGCGCCTCGGTGCAGACACAAAGAGACTGCCCGCAGCAAACACCGACAAGGAGAGATGGGGTGGGCCGGACCACAAAACGAGAGCGCCCCGGAACGCGAAGCTCTGTCCCACGCACGCACAGACGCAAACATGGCTCGGGCACAACCCACAGTGCAGGGGTTTGAGCAGCGGGCAGTCGCGACAGGCGCAGCCGTGAAGAGCGGGTGGGGACTCTCCCCCCACACGTCGCTTTGCCGATCCGGCCGGGCGCCGGTCACACGCGATTCGGCTCAGAGGAGGGCGCCGGTCACACGCGATTCGGCTCAGAGGAGGGGGCGCCGGTCACACGCGATTCGGCTCAGAGGATGACACTCCTGCCCGCTGTACACTCTAGTCGGGCCCCATGGACCTTCAAGGCTCTCGCAGTCTGCTGTGAGAGACCCTGTGTGAAGAGAGCGCAAGAATGTTGCTCAGAGGACCACCCGTGAGCAGGCACCTCCTTGGCGGCGGGCCGGTCGCCACGGGCAGCGCGCGCTCCCTGCACGGCCCGTCTGTGAGCCGGCGTCTCTTCACGGCTCGTGATGTGAGCAGGCGGCGGGCTCTACTTGCACAGCGGCATGCCCGCGGAGGGCTCGCACGAGGCGTGCCGCCAGTGCCGCGACCCGCCAGCTCCACGGCCCTTTTGTGCCCTCTCTCGCACTTGGCGCCTCTCTCGTACTGCAGGCCTGCTATAACCGCGGCGAGGAGGGGGAACCAGTGGCAGGCTCCGAGGTGCTGCCAGGTGTCCTTGCCCGAGATTGTCTGAGCTTGCCCGAGATTGCCCGAGATTGCCCGAGATTGCTCGAGATCGCCCGAGATTGCCCGATATTTCCCGAGATTGCCCGTGGTGCTGCCAGGCGTCCACTTCATGAGCTCCACGGCCTTCGTGCGCTGCGCGCTGGCAGACCCGCAAGGCCCGCAGCTGCGCCTCTTCCTCGGGCACTCTGGCTGGGGCGCCCGCCAGCTTGACGGCGAGTGGAGGGCGGGGGCGTGGCGGCTGTGCGGTGCGACGGCTGCGGCCGTCTTTGCTGCTGATGTCGGCCAGCTCTGGGACGAGATGACGTCGGGAGAGCTCGGCGTGTCTCCTAGATGCTGAGGAGTCGGCCAGTCAGTGTGACACACCTCCTAGCACCGTGGACCGGCCCACACGCACACACACACGCTGCACACGATTGGCTCGGGAGCCGACACGAGGCGTTACCGGCCGTATCACTGGGTCCGGACAGCTGGACGCACAGCACACAGCTCACAGGACAGCTGATGCAGAGGAAAGCCTTGCGCATTTCCTCGCGCGCATCGGCGGGGCTCGAGCTGGCACTGTAGACACTGTGAGTCGTCACGCGTGCTCGGCTGCATTCGACCGCCGTCACGGCCTCGAGTAGTATGATTCGGCCGCATGCACGGCCGCAAGTTGCAGTGCGCGGAGATCACAGAGACAAAGCCTCCCCGCAACAGACTTGGCACATGCAGCTTGGGAGGGGCTCATTGGCGATCGCCTGTGCCCATCTCAGAGGGAGCGCACGGGAGGCGCGAGTGCGTTCTCACGGGGGCTGCGTTCTCACGAGCTGGCCACACCCTCCTAGGCTTCTCGCTCTGCACGCAGATCCCGCAGTCCGAGGAGACGTGGTCCGAGGCGCGAGGTCAAGGAAGACCTTCGGAGCAGCTAAGGGCGGGGGGCCAGGACTGGGGCGAGGAGCGCGACATCGACATAGTCGACTGACACCGGCGGAGGCTCGGAGGCCGGCCCGAATGCACCCGAGCTCGCCCCGAAAACCGCCCCGAGAGCGCCTCGAGATTGCCCGTGGTCTGCACGGGAGGGCCCGTCTGGACAGGTCCCTCCCCTTCGGGTCACTTGCGAGTGAGGAGTGCCACGGAGGGGCGGGTGGGGGAGGCAAGACGGTGCTGGGCCGATATCGACGTGAAGCAGGGGCGGCCGCTCTCTCATTTGGACGCGGGGAGGTAGGAGAGAGCGAGAGCAGTGGGGGCCGACGAGCGTACTTCGCCGACGAGCGTGTACACCCCCTCCCCGGATTGTGGATAGCCTGCGACAGCACACGCCGGCGATGTAGGATGTCAGTCAGAGTCGAGTGGCGGGTTGGGGGTCTTGTACAGTATAGACAAGGCCCACCTTTATTTAATAAACTGGGGCGTGGGGGAGATCTGATCCCATCTCCCGAGCCGACCTGTCTTACCCTTCACGTCCCATCACCCCTATCGCCTCTCGCCGCCCGGCGGCGCCCGTGTCCCTTGCTGCGGAACCGCCCCCTGCTCGGCCGCCGCCGCCCCGCTCTGCGAAGGGCCGGCCTCCGACGCGGACGACGACAGGCGCCGCCTGGAGCCGCTCCTCCGGAGCAGCGACTGCAGCGAGGCTACGCTTCTGCGGGGCGAGCCAGTGGTGCCGACGGCGCCTCCGTTGCGCGACCCGGGGCCGGACTCTGCGGGGCCGTGCAGCAGCGTCGCGATGGCGCGGTCGGCGAGCTCGGCGGTGAGGCCGGTGCGGAAGAAGGTGCGCACGTGGCGGCCGCGCAGGAAGACGCCGCCCTCCTCCGCCAGCAGGTCGCGATCGTCGAGCACCACCCAGCTCACCGACTCCTTCCAGCTCCGGGGCGGCCACGAGAGCCAGTGAGCGATCTCCCTCGGCCGCGCTCGCTGGCCGTGGCCCACGGCCTCCATCTGCGGCGTCTCACCGATCAGGCCAACACCTGTCTCCTCGAGGGAAGCAGCTATGCGCCTCGAGAGTGTCGCGTTGCGGCGCCAGTCGGAGCTGAGCACGACCTGCGCGCCGGTGGTGTCGCAGATTCTCCGGAGCTGGCGCAGCGGCGCCGCCTCCAGCCGCGCCTCGCTATTGCAGCAGAGCACGCCGTCTACGTCTAAGAAGACCACCGCTCGCGGCTCGCCCGCGCGTGGGCTGGAGGCCTCCGACGCGACACGCTCGTGAGCGCCAGACCGGATCTTGCTGGTCAGCGAGTCGTGGGAGCCGTGCATGCACGCCATGCACGGGCCGACGCGCTTCCGGGCGAAAAATAAAAAAGACGCTGATGATGGCCGTGCGCCCGCGCACCCCCGGGGCTAGGGCTCTCTAGCCCGTAACCCGATCCCAATCGTCCGGCCAACTGGGTGCGCTTCTTAGCTCCCCGGTCCTGGGCGTGCGGCTGATGACTGCACTCCAAGTGCTCCAAGTGCACCAAAGCTCCCTCGCACAACACTGGGCACGGGACTGGCGCGCACTGGCACTAACACAGGTAAACCACCAGCGCCAGCCCAGTGTTGTAAAAAAGAAAGTCTCTTTTTCTCTCTTTCAGGGAATTCATTGAACGAAACCACATGAAGAAAACAGAGTACCCTTTCAGTTACACACCTACTCATATGTCAGAGAGGTCCTCACTGAACTGTGAGGTCCTCACGCTCTCCCCCCCACGCTCACCAGCGCGCCACTAGAGGGAGCGGACCGTGAGTTCAGGAAATCGGAGGACGCGACCCACTTCGCCACAGACGGTCCCGCGCCTCGCCGCTATGACGGGTAGACGACCGCGGCTCGTGTGCGTCTACCCGTCTTTGTCCGGAGTGAAAAGTCCAACGCGCTCGTCGGTGGCGGCTTCCTCCAACCTGCGCCGCGCTCGGCGAACCTCGACAGCGCTTTCGGTGGCATGCAGCTCTTTGCGACAGAAGCCTGGAGAGCAGCTCCTCTGCTGCTCACACACTCTGCACAGTTGACACAGCCTACTGTGCGGCTGCCACAGCTGTCACAGCGATGGGCTCGCCCTCACTGGCCCTCAGTCACTTGTGCTGCGGCTTGTGTGAGCGACACTGCTCGGCGACTGCCGGCACACTGTGAGACCATGGGTGTGAGGTTAAACCACGCTACCAGCGCTTGGTCACATCGGCCCCGAGGTCAGATCCTTCTACTCTGTTGATGACAAGACTTGTCTACTGGCTGGAGCCGAGGCAGGAGGGCCCAGCGCACAACCCCAGGTCAACTCAGGGTCCACACCCCGTAGTAACCGTGCCTTTGCTCGCACACACAGCTCGGGTGCGTCAAGCCATGCATCTCCATCGTAGACGCGCCACGTGGCAGTCCTGCACCTTTATCTCTGAAGCGAGCAGCGGATCTCTAAAGAGCAGTGGCCTGCCAGCGACAGCGCAAAGCCCAACAACGCGCGGCCAAACACACGCGGAGAAAAGAAATTTTAGCCGTCTCTGAGGCGGAGAAAACTCTCTCCCACGACACTAGGGACGGGACTGGCGCGCACTGGCACTAACACAGGAGGACGGGAGCCAGAGAAAAGAAATCCGAAGTCCGTGTCGCGATGCGCTCCCCTGTGCCCCTGATCGTCCTTCCGAGATCCTGCTCGTGCAGGTGGGGCACTGTCTTCTTCCTTCCTCCTTCTGTCTGAAAGAAAACAGACCGCCCAGGGGAGGGATAGGAGGACGCGGCACGTGATCGTTCCTCCTTCTCCCATCCATCGTTTGGGCTCTCGAGGTTTTCTCTATCTTTCTTTTTCTGACTTCACATGGCGTTCCCGGCCGGCGCAGGAAAAGAAAATTCCGTCGGGCGTAACGGCTTCCCAGGCGCCAGGGCAGCGCCCGCGGGAGGGGCCCTGTCGGCCATACTTCTCTCTCAGGCGCTGTCGCCGCGCCCGCCGCCGCAGCACGGACCGGCATCCATCGCCGCGCTCGCTGAGCCCGCGTCCGTCAACAGCACGGCCGGCAACCGCGCGAGCGGAGCTCGCATCCTGGCCCCGGAGTCCGCCACCACCTTCGTGTGTGTGGAGAAGTTTACCTTACCTTACCTTACCTACGGTGTTCTTCTTGTTAGTTGTTTGTTCTCTCGTCCTTGCACCATTTGCACTTTGACGATTCGCAGAAATGACGACACGCTCGTGGCTCGAGCGACACACAGTCACAGACACAAACAAGCTCACAAGACACATAGTCCCGTGCCCAGTGTGAAGAATTTAACAAAATCAACTCTCTCTCACAGCAGACAGGCTCGACACAGGTGCGGACTGGCGCGTGCTAGCACTATCACACAATAACAGCCTAACACTAACAGGCAAACCACCGTGTAAAGAAAGAAAGAAAGCAAAAGATAACCCAACAGAGGGATGGGAGGACGGCACGCCGGCACCACACAGTGTCGGAAAAGAAAGAAAAAGAATTTTACAACAAAGCTGCGCGGTGCGCGTAATATCGTACAACAAGGTACCGTACACAAGCTGCAACTACAAGCTGCGGAGCTGGACACATAAGCGCTTCGCACTACGTGCCGTGCGCGGGGCGCGGCGTGGGTGACAATGTGCTGCGAGCGCACGACACGTCTGCTCTCCGTGAAGGCACACGAGCTGGCACGCGAGCGACACATGCACCCGCTAACACATGTCGCCCGCAGCGCGCTCACGTGCCCTCACCAGCTCACCTCAAATGCCCGACCCGGCGAGCCACTCCCGGAGCTCGGCGGAGCCAACCTCGAACGAGTGCGCCAGGCTGCCCGGCCGCCTGCTATTTTTTTGATTTGCGCGCCTTGGTCATCTTGTCGTACGCCTGCATCAGCTTCCGCGCCTTTTCGAGGTTGACCTTGGGCGGCTTGGCGGCGGCGGCCGCGAGCATGCGGCGGCGGTCCACGCCAGCCTCCTCGAAGATCACCTTGGGGATGACGCCGTGCACGCCCCAGTTGCCGTCGACGAGCTGCGTGATGCCAAAGTCCACGCCCTGCGTCATGATCGTGTCCGACTCGGCCTGGCTGATGTTATACGTGGCCATCATGAACTTGCGCGTCTGGGTGTACGCGTTCATCATCGCCGGCTGCAGCGCCCCGCCGGGCAAACCGGGTGCGCCGTAGATGTCGCCCGGGCTGTCCTTGTAGGTCTCGAGGTAGTCTGTCTCGGTGAAGCCGTGGACGATGAACGTGTCCGCCGTCTCGCCGAGCGGAAAGTCGAGGATCGGGAACCAGGCGGGCTTGTCCGCGTCGGTCTTCTTGATCAGCGTGATCTTGAAGGTGCCGGTGATGGACGTCTCGATCGCCGTGCCGTCAATCTCGCCGTCGCCCTGCGCCGCGTGAGCGTCGCCCATCGAGAGCAGCGCGCCCGCCACCTCGACCGGGTAGTACATGGTGGTGCCGACGCCGATCCGCTTGTTGTCGAGGTTGCCGCCGGTGGGCATCGGCGGGATCGAGTCGACAGAGTCGTGCGACTTGGGCGCGAGGCCCATGCAGCCGACGTGCATGTTGATCGGGATCTTGGCGGGGAAGGGGTCGAAGTTGTACCTATTTGCAGGGGCGCAGCAGCTCCGGGAGGCGCGGGGGCGGTCGCGACTCGCGGTCCGTGTGCTCCGGGCTATGCATAGGGCGCGCACTCGATGCCGCGCGTCTCGTCCTTGGTCCAGCCCATGTCCGTGACCTTGGAGGAGAAGCCCGGGTAGTCGTGCGGCACGCAGGTGCCCGGGAAGGCGTAGTAGTTGCGCAAGACGCCCTTCGGGTCGGTGAGGAAGGGCCACTTGAACATGTAGTTGAGCGTCGCGTACTCGCCGCTCGGGTCGAGCTCGTAGATGGAGACGGTCTCGTCGTTCGGGAGGGTCGGGTCGCTCCCGTTGCCCATGAAGCCGCCCGGGTAGTACGGCGTGCCATCCGCCTTGTCGTTGCGCGCATGGAAGCCCCACCACGCAGCGGCGTTGGAGCCGTACGTCTTGCCGTCCTGGTTCGGCCGCGGCTTCAGGTCGAGGATCTCGACCGCGAGGACGTCGCCCGCCTCCGCGTCCTCGACGTAGATCGGGCCGGTCAGCACGTGCACCCCGTCCGCCTGGAAGAGGCTGGGCTCGGTCGCGCCGCGCCGCTCGACGTTCATGACTGAGGTGGACCATTCGAAGACCGACTCCATGCCCGAGTCGCCGGCAACCATCTGCGAGGGAGCAAGCGTCGAGACTCAGCGCCCCGCTCAAGGGTGAGCGCAGGCTTGGAGCAGCGGGCTCGCCTTGTCGTAGTCGTCGCAGGCGTGGTGCGAGGCCATCTCGACGGTCACCGTCTCGCCGGAGGTGATGGTGAGCTTGGGCTGCTCGAGCTGGGAGAAGTAGCCCCAGTGGACGGTGTCCTTGTTGAGCGGTAGGGTCTTCTCTCCTTCCACCGTGAAATCGTGCTGCAGGGGGGCGAGGTCGGGTGTGTCTGAGGGCGGGGGCAGGGAGCCGTGGCACAGCGTCCAGGGACTGCATGGGCAGGTCCAGCAGCGGTTGGGCATGCATGCAGGTAGGGGTGTCTCGGAAGCGAGGGTCCGTCGCAGAGGACGGCGGGTGTCTCTGATCTTGCTCTCTCGGAGGGGCACCAGTTTCCGCGTCTCCTTGCGCGCGGGCTTGGCGGCGGCGGCCGCGAGCATGCGGCGGCGGTCCACGCCAGCCTCCTCGAAGATCACCTTGGGGATGACGCCGTGCACGCCCCAGTTGCCGTCGACGAGCTGCGTGATGCCAAAGTCCACGCCCTGCGTCATGATCGTGTCCGACTCGGCCTGGCTGATGTTATACGTGGCCATCATGAACTTGCGCGTCTGGGTGTACGCGTTCATCATCGCCGGCTGCAGCGCCCCCTCGTCCGAACTGGGTGCGCCGTAGATGTCGCCCGGGCTGTTCTTGTAGGTCTCGAGGTAGTCTGTCTCGGTGAAGCCGTGGACGATGAACGTGTCCGCCGTCTCGCCGAGCGGAAAGTCGAGGATCGGGAACCAGGCGGGCTTGTCCGCGTCGGTCTTCTTGATCAGCGTGATCTTGAAGGTGCCGGTGATGGACGTCTCGATCGCCGTGCCGTCAATCTCGCCGTCGCCCTGCGCCGCGTGAGCGTCGCCCATCGAGAGCAGCGCGCCCGCCACCTCGACCGGGTAGTACATGGTGGTGCCGACGCCGATCCGCTTGTTGTCGAGGTTGCCGCCGGTGGGCATCGGCGGGATCGAGTCGACAGAGTCGTGCGACTTGGGCGCGAGGCCCATGCAGCCGACGTGCATGTTGATCGGGATCTTGGCGGGGAAGGGGTCGAAGTTGTACCTATTTGCAGGGGCGCAGTAGCTCCCGGAGGCGCGGGGGCGGTCGCGACTCGCGGTCCGTGTGCTCCGGGCTATGCATAGGGCGCGCACTCGATGCCGCGCGTCTCGTCCTTGGTCCAGCCCATGTCCGTGACCTTGGAGGAGAAGCCCGGGTAGTCGTGCGGCACGCAGGTGCCCGGGAAGGCGTAGTAGTTGCGCAAGACGCCCTTCGGGTCGGTGAGGAAGGGCCACTTGAACATGTAGTTGAGCGTCGCGTACTCGCCGCTCGGGTCGAGCTCGTAGATGGAGACGGTCTCGTCGTTCGGGAGGGTCGGGTCGCTCCCGTTGCCCATGAAGCCGCCCGGGTAGTACGGCGTGCCATCCGCCTTGTCGTTGCGCGCATGGAAGCCCCACCACGCAGCGGCGTTGGAGCCGTACGTCTTGCCGTCCTGGTTCGGCCGCGGCTTCAGGTCGAGGATCTCGACCGCGAGGACGTCGCCCGCCTCCGCGTCCTCGACGTAGATCGGGCCGGTCAGCACGTGCACCCCGTCCGCCTGGAAGAGGCTGGGCTCGGTCGCGCCGCGCCGCTCGACGTTCATGACTGAGGTGGACCATTCGAAGACCGACTCCATGCCCGAGTCGCCGGCAACCATCTGCGAGGGAGCAAGCGTCGAGACTCAGCGCCCCGCTCAAGGGTGAGCGCAGGCTTGGAGCAGCGGGCTCGCCTTGTCGTAGTCGTCGCAGGCGTGGTGCGAGGCCATCTCGACGGTCACCGTCTCGCCGGAGGTGATGGTGAGCTTGGGCTGCTCGAGCTGGGAGAAGTAGCCCCAGTGGACGGTGTCCTTGTTGAGCGGTAGGATCTTCTCTCCTTCCACCGTCAAACCTTGCTGCAGGGGGGCGAGGTCGGGCGTGTCTGAGGGCGGGGGCAGGGAGCCGTGGCACAGCGTCCAGGGACTGCATGGGCAGGTCCAGCAGCGGTTGGGCATGCATGCAGGTAGGGGTGTCTCGGAAGCGAGGGTCCGTCGCAGAGGACGGCGGGTGTCTCTGATCTTGCTCTCTCGGAGGGGGCACCAGTTTCCGTGTCTCCTTGCGCGCGGGCTTGGCGGCGGCGGCCGCGAGCATGCGGCGGCGGTCCACGCCAGCCTCCTCGAAGATCACCTTGGGGATGACGCCGTGCACGCCCCAGTTGCCGTCGACGAGCTGCGTGATGCCAAAGTCCACGCCCTGCGTCATGATCGTGTCCGACTCGGCCTGGCTGATGTTATACGTGGCCATCATGAACTTGCGCGTCTGGGTGTACGCGTTCATCATCGCCGGCTGCAGCGCCCCCTCGTCCGAACTGGGTGCGCCGTAGATGTCGCCCGGGCTGTTCTTGTAGGTCTCGAGGTAGTCTGTCTCGGTGAAGCCGTGGACGATGAACGTGTCCGCCGTCTCGCCGAGCGGAAAGTCGAGGATCGGGAACCAGGCGGGCTTGTCCGCGTCGGTCTTCTTGATCAGCGTGATCTTGAAGGTGCCGGTGATGGACGTCTCGATCGCCGTGCCGTCAATCTCGCCGTCGCCCTGCGCCGCGTGAGCGTCGCCCATCGAGAGCAGCGCGCCCGCCACCTCGACCGGGTAGTACATGGTGGTGCCGACGCCGATCCGCTTGTTGTCGAGGTTGCCGCCGGGGGGCATCGGCGGGATCGAGTCGACAGAGTCGTGCGACTTGGGCGCGAGGCCCATGCAGCCGACGTGCATGTTGATCGGGATCTTGGCGGGGAAAGGGTCGAAGTTGTACCTATTTGCAGGGGCGCA